AGGCGCTAGGAACTTCTTCTGGGTCTCCCAAGCAGGTACAAGAGCCCAAAGACTTGGGCCATCCTCTTCTGCTTTCCCAGACCATTGCAGAGAGCTGGATTGGAAGTGGAGCAGCCGGGGCTCAAACTGGTGCCCAAATGGGATGCTGGCACTGTAAGGGCAGCGTTACCTACTACGCCACAGTGCCAGCCTCCAGAGAGATTTCTGATCAGCTGGTTCATTCCCCAGAGGCCACACCAGCTAAAGCAGGGCCAATCCAAAGCCAAGAGGCAGAACTTCTGAGTCTCCTGTTGGGGTTTCAGGGACCCAAGGATTTGAGCCATCTTCCGCTGCTTTTCCCAGGCCATTAGCAGGGAGCTGGATCAGAACTGGAGCAGCTGGGACATGAACCAGTGCTAGCCACTGGTTGTAGCCACAAATCTATGCCACTATGCCACTATGCCACAAATATGGCCCTGATAAATGGACTTTAGAAACAAGCCTTGTGTTAGATGTCTCAATACTGTATCCTGGGATGGGCTGCTTACTTGACCCTGAATTTCCTCCCAACTCCAGGCACATTTAGGTAACTGCAGCTCCCACAGTGTTTGGAGCCGTCACTACAAAAAAAGTCAAACTTTCGTTTTTCTTTCTCTTCTCTTAGTAAATGTCCAAGTGAGAAGAAAGGTCATTTAAATCAGGAAATACATATAGAATGACAAATGTCAAAAAGGAGGTAGAGAGGCTAGCACTGTAGCATAGCAGGTAAAGCTACCGCCTGCAGTGCCAGCATCCCATATGGGTGCCAGTTCAGGCCCCGGCTGCTCCATTTCCAATCCAGCTCTCTGCTATGGCCAAGGAAAGAAGAAGATGGCTCAAATCCTTGAGCCCCTGCACCCATGTGGGAGACCCAGAAAAAGTTCCTGGCTCCTGGCTTTAGATAAGCAGAGCTCCAGCCATTGCAGCCAACTGGGGAGTGAACCAGCGGATGGAAGACCTCTCTCTCTCTCTCTCTCTGTCTCTTCTTCTCTCTCTCTTTCAAATAAAAAAATAAAAATAAAAAAATGAAAAACCAAGGTAGAGGAAGGGAAAAGTGCCTGAAACCTTCCTGCACTCAGTGCTAACGTGCTACTGAAAACCATCAGACAACCCTCAAGGAGCACCCCTTCTTTTTTCCTTTTAAGATTTATTTTAGCGTTGTGGCACAGCTGGTACAGTCATGGCCTATGATGCCAGCATCCCACATGGGCACGGACCCAAGTCCTGGCTGCTTCACTTCAAATCCAGCTCTCTGCTAACGGCCTGAGAAAGCAGCAGAAGATGACTCCAGTGCTTGGGTCCCTGCACCCACATGGGTGACCCAGAGGAAATCCCTGGTTCCAGGCTTCGGACCAGCGCTGCTTTGGCCGTTGCGGCCATCTGAGGATAAAAGATCTCTCTCTCTCTCTCTCTCTTTCTTTCTCTTTCTCTTTCTCTCTCTTCCTCTCTTTCTGTGGCTCTGCCTTTCAGATGAATGAATGGATCTTTAGAGGGGAAAAAAAAAAGGGATTTATTTTATTTCTTTGAAAGGTAGAGAGAGATCTTTTATCCCTTGGTTCACTCCCTAAAATGACTGCGACATCTGAGGCTGGACCAGGCTGAAACTAGGAGCCTGGAACTCATCCAGGTCTCCCACATGGATGGCAGGGCCCAAGCATTTGGACCATCTTCCGCTGCCTTCTCAGGTACATTAACAGGAAGCGGAGCAGCTGGGACTCAACCTGCGAACATTTGGGATGCATCGCAGGCATAGCTTAACCTGCTGTGCCACAACGCCAGCCCCAAGGAGCACCCCTTCTAAAGAAGGATCTAATCCTATCACAATAAACAAAACAGCAAGGAGAAGCAAGTCTCCAAAGACCTACATTATACATAATTCTAACATCATTTATCAGTTTTATATCAGTATGTGTATGAGGTGATAAGTGAAATGAATGAGAAAAATCATCACTTCTTTCTAACTTCTAATATATCCCTACTTTTATGAGAACCTCTTACCCCAACCTCAAGAACTCCTAAGAAGCACTTGGGCCTTATACAGGCCCTGCATAGGTTGAAATATAACCCCCTTTCTTCTTCATGTAAGTGGTATAGGTGAATTCTTGCAAGTAAAATCCATAGAAGATAGGATTCCAACCCATGGTGGCCTTTATTAATTCCCAATTAATTAAATTGTCATCTCGGGGCTGGCACTGTGGCGCAGTAGGTTAAAGCCCCATCCTGCAACACCAGCATCCCATATGGGTGCCAGTTCAAGTCCCACTGCTCTATTTCTGATCCAGCTCCCTGCTAATGTGCCTAGGAAAGCAGTGGAGGATGGCCCAAGTGCTTGGGCCCCTGCACCCACATGGGAGACTCTGAAGAAGCTCCTGGCTCCTGGCTTCAGACTGGCTCAGCTCCAGCCATTGCAACCATCTGGGGAGTCAATCAGCAGATGGAAGACCTTTCTGTGTCTCTCTCTAACTCTCTGTAACTCTTTCAAATAAAATAATTTTAAAAAATCTTTAAAAAAATTGTCATTTCAATTTCTCTTAGGTGTTAAGGAGAATGTAGAGTCACAAGAGATTCATTGACTTTGGAAAGAGCAAGAAGATCCTTGCTGAACTGCAAAGGGAAAAACAAACACCTCAGCACCTTCCCCACCCTTCCTTTGAGAAACTGTTCCTCCTATACTCCTACCACGGGATTTTGGTGGTGCTGACAATCAAGTACCCCACCCACTTAGCCGGAAGTGGAGGCACATAACATCCAATCTGGCCAGTGAGGAGCCTTCCCTGGAATTTGTGAATACTGAAGGCAGACTTTTCTCTTTACTCTGGAGCACTTAAGCTTGGATGATGTAACACAAAAACTGCCTACGTCACATCTTCATGTATTTACATAGTAGACTAAGACTTATAAGTACAGAAGCAGATACAGGGCATCAAGGAGTTAGAGATGCTTCGGGGAGAGGGAGAGACACATAAGAACATCATCTGAGTTCCTGAATTAAGTGACACGCTAGCCCGACCCATGTTTGTGAGCCAATAAATTCCATTTTGTTCATTTGAGTTGCATATCTGTCACATAACAGAAAAATCTTGGCTAAAAAAGTGGAATGGCTACCAGAGTAAACCTGAGACATTCATAGCAGTGAGAAATATATAGTTCCTTGCTGAAACACAGAATACACTTCAGTGCTATGCAGAATGAAGATAATGGTTAAGAACAGAACCATTCAATATAATAAATATGTGCAGATAACACTGAAGCTGTGGGTCAAGAGAAGGTGCTACTGAAATCTATACACAGATCAAAAGTTAAGCATACTTTAATAAAGTTCAAAAGGCCTTACTGCTCATTCACATATATAACCAATATCTGCTCTCATGGAAATGTCCATAGATTAGTGGGATACAGCTGAGACTCATCAAGATGCCCAAGATTCTAGAAGACAAAAAACATCTACCTGCCAACGATGGTACAAGTACAAAGGAAACATAAGGACACTACTAAAAGTTGTGGGAAACTGAATAAAAAGATAAGTTTGGGGCAGGTGTTTGGCCTAGCAGTTAAGATGCTGGTTAACATCTGCAGTCCGTATGGCAGGGGCAGGATTCGATTCCCAGGTTGGGTTCCCAATTTCAGCTTCTTGTTAATGCAGATTCTAGAAGACAGCAGGTAATGACTCAAGTGGTTGCAACCCTACCCCCTTGTGGGAGACCTAGATTGAGTTCCTGACTCCTGGATTTGGCCCAGTCCAGCCCTGGCTGTTGTGGACACTTGGGGAGTGAACCAGCAGATGGAAGCCCTGTGTATTTGTCATTTTCTACTCCACTTTCCCCCTCCCTCCCTCTGGTTATGTTTTTGGTGGGAGGAGGGGATAATGTGGTAGAAGGCTGGCAATGTGGCAGACACAGGCCTTCCTGTGCATTCTATTAGTAGTCTCAAGAATGGAAGGGTGAGGGGTCAGGGCTGCAGCGACCAGCACCCCAGCCGCTCCACACTTCTGATCCTGCTCCCTGCCAACGCACCTGGGAAAGCAGTAGAAGATGGTCCAAGTGCTTGGGTCCCTGCACCCACGTGGGAGACCCAGAAAAACTCTGGGACCCTAGCTTCAGCCTGGCCCAGCCCTAGCCATTGCAGCCATTTGGGGAGTGAACCAGCAGATGGACTATCTCTCTCTCTCTCTCTCCCTTTCAAATAAATAAATCTTTAAAAAAAAAAAAAAAGTGTCAGGATGATGTAGAACACCTCCTTATTCACAGAAGGCGCCCCATCCTTCTCTGATAACTCATGACCATGGAACCCCATGGAACCTCGCTCACGGATCCCAGGTCACCTCACCTATCCTAGTTTGAAGCACACTAGTTTCATGCGTGCACTTTAGATTACTGTTTTCCTCCTTCCCCGGGTGCCGCTCCTGGGGAACTAGCCAGGGCACAGACACTCATCTTCCACTCTCTGTCCTCACCCTGGGGCAGCCCTTGCAGTAAGGGACAAATGGAGACCAGCCTCACAGGGAGCGCATCAATCCTAAGAGGGCACCCCAGCTAGCCCTTGGCCTTGGCCACAGGACGCAGGCTCATCTCCGTCCTCGGAGGATGGGGGAGTCCACACCCCCACCTCAACGAGCAGGCTCACACCCCTGCCGCTGGACTGTGGGGTCAGAGAAGGGCCACCCACCTCCTACTCTCACAACCCGGGCAGTGGGCGCGCCTGCCCCTCGACCTCACACACGTTCAGAACCAGCCAGTGGAAACCGCCTGACCCAGTTCTGGGCCAAATGCAGGGCACGCCCCTCCCCTCCATGCCACCCGGCTTGCGGCCCCAGGCCACTGAACACATCAGGGACTGCTCCGTCAGCTCCCCGAGGCCGCGCTGCCGTCGCGCGGGGGAAGGGGCCGAGGCTCAGAGATGGGGCGCGTGCTCTCCTCCCAACCCCAGTAGGGCCCCTCACACTTGTCCCCTCCCCGCCGGCCCACTCCAAGAAGACTCGTTACCTGAGCTCGCAGCCATTCGGGCCCAGGATCCCCGGCCCCTGTCACCCCGCCCCCTGCTCCAGCCTCACGCACGCGCAGCGCCTACCACCGGGGTCCACGCTTCCGCTTTCCTCTTCTCAGCTCCCTCTCCTGGGCGGTGCTCGCCGCCACACCACGCCCCTATTTAAAGGGCAAGAGCCACCCTGTTTCATCCCAGGGACTCAGGGGGACCAGTGCGATGCAAATGCCCGACGGGGCGCATAGACCAATAAATAGCAATCCTTAAGTTGAGAAAAGACATTCTGCTCTAGCCCTATGTGAGTGAATTCATCTAGCATTCAAGAAGGTGACCCTACTTTAGGCAGCCCAGAAAAGACAAGTGATTCCTTGGATTCCAGAGTTTTCAGCCAGCAAAAAAGGAACTTTTTAAAATTTCTTTTAAAAGATGAATACAGAACTTCAGATTTTTTACTTTCCAAATAAGGACACACACTACAAACTATTATTTTCTAATTTGTCATCAATTGCTATGTAAAAAAAAATGTGTCTTAACATCAAAAATATAGGAGGGATACACTCTCAAATAAAGGAAATATCTTTAAAATATATTTTATTTATCTATTGCTCCTGAAGAAATATAAAGGCTTCTCAAGCAGACTGGTTTTATTTATTATTTTAACTATTTATTTAATAATTTGAAAGGCAGAGAGAGAAAGAGGGAGAGAAATCTTCCATGCTGAATCACTCCCCAAATTCCTACAACTGCCAGAGCTAGGCCAATCCACAGCCAAGAGCCAGGAACTCATCTTGGTCTCCCACATGGGTGGCGGGGACCCCCAGCACTTGGACAATCACCTGCTGCCCCCCAGGGTGCACCTAAGCAGGAAGCTGGAATTGGAAGCCAAGCTAGGACTCCACCCCAGTCACTCCCACCTGCAATGCAGGATCCCCAAGCGAAACGGCTGTTCCAAATGCCTGCCCCAGACTGGTTTTGGGAGTCACCACTATAGATAATATTGACCCCAAGACACAGATTCGATGCCTCTGGGGCCTACAACCACGAAATTATGGAAGCACACCACAGTAGGCTCGTGGAAGAAGATACCAAAAACGTTCTGTTTGGTAGGCAGTTATTGAGCATAACCGGGGTTCACTATACTTCACCCACAAGGCAAAAGACAGCCCTCTCCTCCAGGTCCCCTTTAAGAATTCGGTGTAGATCTGTGCTGTGGTGTAGCCAATAAAGCCTGCAGTGCCGGCAGCCCATATGGACGCTTGTTCGAGTCCTGATTGTTCCACTTCCATTCCAGCTCTCTGCTATGGCCTGGGAAAGCAGAAGAAGATGGCCCAAGTCCTTGGGTCTCTGCACCTGCGTGGGAGACCTGGAGGAAGCTCTTGGCTCCTGGCTCCGGACTGGTTCATTTCCAGCCCTTGTAGCCAGCCGTTGCCTCTGCCTCTGGCTCTCTAACTCTGCCTTTCAAATAAATAAATAAATAAATAGAATTCGATGTACAGGCTTAGTGACAATACAAGGGAAGCTGTTTTGAGTGATATAAAGAGTTCGGGCCATCAGTTTAGCGTCACAGGCGAAGGAAAGTGGGGAAAATGCTTCAGGGAGGAGGCCGTGTGTTTCCTGGCCCTGGAAGAGCTTCAAGCCTCAGCGGGCAGGGAGCCCGCCTGGCTGAGAAAACGCGTGCTAAAAGGCAGTACAGAGCACGTTAGGGCGAGTTCCTGGCCCAAGAGTGGCTTTCAAACTATTTTATTTTATTATTGGAAAGGCAAGGAGCCAGCGTGCGAGAGAGCTCCCATTTTCTGGTTGAATCCCAAAACGCTCGTAACAGGGAGCGCGGCCGCGGCGGTGCACATGCGCACACACTACATCTCGTGTGGTCATTCCTCGGTTCCTATGGGGCCGAGCACCTAATGTGAAGTCACGTGGGCGTCAGCAGGGTCGGTCACTTCGGGGTCTTTGGAGGAGCACTTGAGCTCCACGCCGCAGTGCTGGACGCCTGGCTCCTGTGTATACAGTTCGGTTAGTGTCTCCTCCTGGGGACTCTCCCCTTCAGCTCCTTCCTCTCAGGCTCCATCTTGCGTGGGGAGCTTCAGCCTGGCAGGTTGCCTGACAATGCAGATGGACCCGCAGAAACAAAGCGGGTCCTCCTAGGCATCTCCCCGGAGCGAGCCTTTTTTGATTTTTTTCTTGCCAGCACCACCCTGCACCCTGTGGTCTTCAACTTTGTTGGCTGAGTCATTCTCATTTACTTAGTGGAAAAGTAGGAGACTGGAGAGGTGGTCCCTTGTTCACTTCCCCTGGATAAGTTATTGAGAAGGCAGCCTGCGGGACACGTGGATTTTTCTAAAGATTGGTATTTACTCTCCACTCTGATTTGATATGCAGTTGGAGAACCCGGAGAACTTTGCTTGTGAACCCAGAGAACATTGCTTGTTCGCTCTGTGTCAAAACAGCTTTGTAGTGAACAGTTATTAATAAGACCTCTGCCTTCCATTAAGTGTAAGCTTTTTCCTTCCAAATTAAAAAGCTCCGTGGCACGTCTCAAAACAACAATAAAACAAAAACCAGGAACCTAGAACTCATTTAGAGTCTCCCATGTGAGTGGCAGGAATCCAAGTACTTGAGTCATCGTTGGCTGCTGCCTCCCAGGGTGTGCATTAGCAGGAAGCTGGAATTGGGAGCTGAGCCAAGGCTTGAACCAGGTCTTCCAATAGGGGATGTGAGCGTCCCAAGCAGCATCTTAACCATTGTGCCAAATGCCTATCTTCAAACTTCTCGCTGGCGCCGCAGCTCACTTGGCTAATCCTCCACCTGCGGTGCCAGCACCTCAGGTTCTAGTCCTGGTTGGGGCACCGAATTCTGTCCCGGTTGCTCCTCTTCCAGTCCAGCTCTCTGCTGTGGCCCGGGAAGGCAGTGGAGGATGGCCCAAGTGCTTGGGTCCTGCACCCCATGGGAGACCAGGAGGAAGCGCCTGGCTCCTGGCTTCGGATCAGCGCAGGACACCGGCCATAGCAGCCATTTGGGGGGTGAACCAACAGAAGGAAGAACTTTCTCTCTCTGTTTCTCTCTTTCACTGTCTAACTCTGCCTGTCCAAAAACAAAAACAAAAAACTTCTTTAATCATTCTTACCAGGAAGAAATACAATTCAACCATGATCTCGGATACACACACAGTGTCTATGTGTGTGTGCCAAGAGACTGTCCAGGACAACGTAAGCAGGCTGGGAAGACCAGGAACCTTGTGATGGAACACTGTTGGAAAAGTTGGTCAGCATGGAAATCCCAGAAGGGTGAAGAGCCGGGTCCCGTGACCTTTCTGAAATGTGCATCTCTATGGCAGTGGCAGACTCCTTCAGGGCCGCTCAGGAGAACACACCTGGGACCTGCTGAGAGCAGTTGCGGAGAAGTGGATTTCACCTCACAAAAACCAGTGTTTTAGCGTGGTCCACGCTCCCTCTGAGGCCTCTCCGCATCAACGGCCCTTGTGTGTACCCCAGTTCACAGTGGGAAATAGTCTTAGATGCTACCTCCTCTAGGACTATTTACATTAGTTAAAAATTCAAAATACGGTATGCTTCCAGGAAACGTGGAAAATGTAAGAAATGCAGATCAGTAAATAAAGTAGGAAAAAGGCACTCATAATTTTGGCTTATTCTCATTGAATCTTTTTTTTTTTTTTTGACAGAGAGAGAGAGAGAGACAGAAAGGTCTTCCTTCCGTTGGTTCACTCCCCAAATGGCCGCAACGGCCGGAGCTACGCCGATCTGAAGCCAGGAGCCAGGAGCTTCTTCCGGGTCTCCCACGTGGGTGCAGGGGCCCAAGCACTTGGGCATCTTCTACTGCTTTCCCAGGCCACAGCAGAGAGCTGGAGTGGAAGAGGAGCAGCCGGGACTAGAACCTGGTGCCCATATGGGATGCCGGTGCCACAGGTGGAGGATTAACCAAATGAGCCACAGCGCTGCCCACCCCCCTCGTTGAGTCTTTTTCTTTGTATATTTACTCTTCTTTTAAAAAGAGGCAGAGAGAGAGAGAGAGACAAAGATAGCCAGCACTCCCATCCCTGGAATCACTCCCAGATGCCCCCTATTGCTGCAGTTGCACAGAGATGGAAGCTGGAACTTCAAATGCAATTCAGGTCTCCCATGTGAGCTACCTGAGCCTTCACTTGCTGCCTCCCAGGATCTGCTGGAGTCAGGAGCTGGAGGCGGATATCAAACCCAGGCACGCAGGCCTGGGACACAGGCGTCTTACTGCTAAGCCAAACACCTGCCTCTGCATACTTACCTTTTTTGACATTACAAAGCTACTTAGAACATACAGTTTACAATCCACATCCTGATTTTTCCCCTCATTGTGGTATCTTGAGCACTAGCCACTGTCTTTAAAATTGTTCACAAATAGTATTTGTAATTGCTGCATAATTATTGATGAGAGTTTATTTCATTATTCCACTATTTTGGGACATTTAGGAAGTTCCTTGTTTTTCACTGTTAATAAGAACATTGCCATGAATATCCTTATACAGAAATCTTTGTCCACATCATAAAATGATTTCCTTAGGAGAGAAACCTTTAAGTGAAATCACGGATTCAGAGGCTTAGAAAGTTCTTAAGTCTGTGAAAACCTACTACCAAATTGCCCTCATTCAGGCCAGACCAGTTTTCATTCTAAGTGTTCAAGGGTGCCCACCGCACATACCCACCTGCATTTATTTACTGGTTTAAAAAGTTTTTGCCAATTTGATAGATGGCATGGCCTTTTATTTTTAATTTCCTTGGTTTACGGTGGGGTGGATATCTTTATAAATGTATCAACCCTTTATAGTTACTCTGGGAATGCAGTTTCACTGCCTGTGTTTGGATTTGTGATTGGCCAGTAGTACTAAGTGAACTGTCACAGACTTAGGAGAAAGAAAGCAGAGAAGGATTTATTTTTATTTTTATTTTATTTTTTTTTTTTGACAGGCAGAGTGGACAGTGAGAGAGACAGAGAGAAAGGTCTTCCTTTTGCCGTTGGTTCATCCTCCAATGGCCGCCGCGGCCGGCGCGCTGCGGCCGGCGCACCGCGCTGATCCGATGGCAGGAGCCAGGAGCCAGGTGCTTTTCCTG